GCCCCACATAGCACCCTGCACTGACAGCATGGAGCCTACTTGGGATTCTCTCTCTCCCTCTTTGTCTGCCTTTCCCCTGCCCACTTGCTCTTGTTCTCTCTAAATAAATGAACATTTTTAAAAAACCATCTGGATCCAATTCAAGTTCATATGTTACATTTGGTGTTAATGTTTCTCTTTTAATCTGGAACTATTTTCCCATCATTTTTATTTTTATTTTTTTAAAGAGTATAGATTAGTTGTCTAGATCAGAGTCTAAAACTTCTCACCTGGATTTTTCTGGTTTTCTCTTTTTCATACATCATGTAACTTTTGTTTTTATTCAACTTTTCCTGTATACTGGAAGTAACGTCAAAGCATGATTTTATATTCCGGTTAGATAGTTTTGGCCAAAGTACCCTGTGGGTGATATTATATATATATGTATTATATATTATATATTATATTATATATAGTACATATATGTATTTTAGACTACATTACATCAGGAGGCATATGATGTCAGATTGTTCCAGTACTAAAATTGCTTAGTTTGATCACTTGTTTACAGTGGAAACTGCCATGTATTCCCTTTGTGAAGGTATCTTACTCTCTGTAGTTGGGGTTTTGTTTTTTGTGTGTGTGTTTTGTTTTGTTTTTTATTTGAGAGAGACAGAGAGAGTGTGAGTTGGGGAGGGGCAAAGAGAGAGAGTCCCAAGCAGGCTCCAGTGTCAGCACAGAGCCTGATGCAGGGATCGAACTCACAAAACTGAGATCATGACCTGAGCCAAAATCAAGAGTCAGTTGCTTAACCCACTGAGCCACCCAGCCACCCTGGCACCAAATACTTCTTAGGAAGTTACTTAAGCCATATTTTTTAGGAAAATGTTGATAGACTTTTAGGCTAAGAAGTACCTAAGAGATCATTTATTCCCAGCCCTTACCTAATAAAGGAATCCCTCTTTGGCAGATGGGTCATCTAATTTCTGATTAAATATCTTAGAAACAATGTTAGTGGGTTTGAAATTTTTTTATAGTTTAAACCAAAATCCAGAGTCTTTACCACAAATGCACTACAGGGTCTTCCCCTTTGTACCTCTTTGACCTCATCTCATCATTCTCCCCTTGTTTCAGCTACCCTAACCTACTTGTTACTCAAACATAAACCTACTTTCACATAAGACCTTTGCACTTACTTGTACTGTTTCATATGTTCTTTCTTTTTACCACGTGGGTTCCTCCCTCACTTTATTTAGGTCTCTCTTCATAGATCACTGTATTATAGAGGTCTTTCCTGATCACCCTGTCTAAAATAGCTTACCTTTCCCTTTACTCTCGATTCCCTTGTCTTGCTTTATTTTTCTTCATGATGCTTATTACTATCTAGTGTTTATGTTTGCTTATTTATTTACTGTCTACCTCACCTCATCACCACCACTCCTATTCCCAACACTAGAATATAACCTTCATGAGAGAAAGGACTATTTACTGCTAAATCTTGAGCACCTACTATGTCTCTGGCACATACATAGGGGACACTCAGTGGATATTTGTTAGATAGATGAGAGGATCCTGGCTGGCTCAGTCAGTAGAGTATGCAACCCTTGATCTCAGGGTTGTGAGTTCAAGTTGCATGTTGGGCATAGAGCTTACTTAAAAAAGTAGATGAATCCCTCCCTATATCTTCTTCATGCTGATCCTTTTGCTGTCCAGTGAAGTTTTACAGAACAAGTAATCTTTGCATATGTAATAGTCCTTCAGAAGTTTAGAGATTTATGTCTTCTTGTTTTTCCACTCCAAGCTTTGACTCTTTCAGCATTTCCTTAATTCTTTACAACTTTTTCTCTGATGCTCTAGGTTGTTTCTTTTTTTTTAACATTTATTCATTGTTGATAGTGAGAGAGACGAGCATAAGTGGAGGGATGGGCAGAGAGAGAGGGAGACATAGAATCCAAAGCAGGCTCCAGGCTCCGAGCTATCAGCACAGGGCCTGACGTGGGGCTCGAACTCACGGAGTGTGAGATCATGACTTGAGCTGAAGTCAGACGCTTAACTGACTGAGCCACACAGGTGCCCCTCTGGTGCTCTAGTTTAATTATTTCTTAAAGCATGAGTCTTTACAGCAACACAAAGAAGAATTGTTCTTTCAAATATCTGTAAGCATTAGTCTTCTATTAATACGGTTTTAAAGAAGTTATTTTTTTTAGCAGCCATGTTATACTGATGTCTCATGAAAAATGTAGTTAAGTCATGAAGTTAGAACTTCATTGTCCTACTTTTGCTGCCTTTTTCCCAAAGATAATGTGACTTTTAATTTTTAAGGGGTTTGTGACGATGACTCTGGAAAGCCCAGAAGAAATACAAGATGTCAGTTGCGCTTGGAAAGAACTTAACAGAAAGCTGAGTAGTAATGCTGTGTCCCAAATTACCAGAATGTGCCTCCTAAAAGGAAATATGGTAGGTTTTTCTAGACAAGTAAAAAGCTTTTTCTTTTCTTTTTTTTTTTTTTTAATTTTTTTTTCAACGTTTATTTATTTTTGGGACAGAGAGAGACAGAGCATGAACGGGGGAGGGGCAGAGAGAGAGGGAGACACAGAATCGGAAACAGGCTCCAGGCTCTGAGCCATCAGCCCAGAGCCCGACGCGGGGCTCGAACTCACGGACCGCGAGATCGTGACCTGGCTGAAGTCGGACGCTTAACCGACTGCGCCACCCAGACGCCCCAAAAGCTTTTTAATCAACTACTATAAATGTTTCTAAAGCCCAGTAGATTTTCTTTTCTTTTCTTTCTTTCTTTTTTTTTTTTTAAAGGCTAATAGGGTGCATAATACGGTTTTCTCTGTGTGATGGTTTGTTTCCAGTTGTAAATTTGGGGAGTTTTATAAATAATTTACTCTCTAGAAAGCTATAAGTCATTCTGCTTAGTTTGTCTAATAACCAAGTTATCTAAGTTTCTGCTTTTGTGCATATATTATCTGTGGTTGTATGTGTTTTACTTTATGACTAAGTAACTTATAATTTCAACAGCTGAACAGCTCTGTTATTTAGAGAATATGCAGTGTTGACTTTTAAGTGGCCTGCTTTGGTTGTTAATGAGGATAATGAAGTAAAGTAAGAATTTTAATACATTTTTGAAACAGCAAAGTTAAAACTATCTCTAATCTTAGTGACTGTTTCTTCTAATGGTTTTGAGGAAAGATGTTATATTTATTCATCCAACTTTGCTACATAGGTTTATTCTAGCCTAGAATTTATTAACTTTATTATTTATTGGAAATAATCATTTCTCTCAAAGTTTAATATTACCATTAAAAAAAGTTTTGTGGCAAATCTGAGACAAATAAGCGCATTTAGAAAAAATATGAAGGGCATGGAAAATCTAACAAAATCTTTAGGCCAGGCTAGTTGCTGTACTTGAGAATTAAATTAACTTTCAGTTTATTGACAACCAGTACCAAAGAAGCAGCATCTTGGGTTATATCATTGCCATTATCCGATAAATACTGTATCTCTTCAGGATAGAAATTTTCCAGCACTAAATTTTCCAAAGAATTTATTACATGGATCATTTTACAGTGGACATGGAACAACATTAAAGTGTCTACAAGAACTTTTCTAGAGAGTACTCTATATTTTTAGTAGTAGATTCCTGTTAGATATTTTTTTTACTTTTCAGATTTAGAAAATATAATAAGCAGCCACTCTCATGCATTATTTATATGTTAGTTGTTTTATCTTATAAGCATTCATGGGACACACCCTATCTTTTCTTTCTTTTTTTTTAGTTGTAAGATTACCAGCAAGTACTAGTGTATTAGTAAAAATTCAACTCATCTGCATCTAAATAAAAATTTTTTCATTTTGCTTTTAGGGTGTTTGCTTTGACGTTCCTACAACTGAGTCAGAAAGGTTACAGGTATTTTAAAAATTTTATCTGTTAAATAGTTGAATATTTAACCATTTAAAATAGTAATTTAAAAGAAGTCACAATATCATTATGATGCCTAAGTCAATTAATTTTCCTTTATAGAATATATCTAGGTTATATCATAATTTAAAACATTTATTATAATTTCAAATATAAAAAATAGAATTGCATAATAAATATTCATGTACCCATCACCCAGCTACAGTTGTGATCAGCTCACAGCTGGTTTGTTTCATGTCACTTCCATCCATTTTCCTAGTCTCCTGTATGTATGCTTTTGAGAGAAATTGTAGGTATTCTGTCATTTCAACCATAAATATTTCCATATATCTACTAGGGATACTTTTTAAAAACATAATCATAATGCCATAGTTCAAATACCTAAAATAATAATTCCTTAATATCATCTAATTTTGTGTTTAAAATTTCCCTATTGTCTCCTAAATATTTTTTATTTTTTTGTCTCCTGGATATCTTAGAATATAAGACCCATGCATTATAATTAGATGTTTCTTAAGTCTCTTTTAATCTGCAGTTTCTTGCTCCTTTCTTTGTCACTTTAAAAAATTTTTCTTGTATTTTATCTGTTGCAGAAAGAGATTGTCTACTAGATTCCTACACTATAGAATTTGACTATTGCACTACTGTGCATATTTATAGATGTATTTGGGAGTGATTCTGTTTTTTAAGTCTTTTTAAAAATTAAGAATATATCATGAACACATTCCTTTGTCAACTATACAGTTATTTTTTAACAGCTCCCTGTATTTGGCCATGTGGGTGGTCAACTTTTCTTTTGTTTTTAAAAATTTTTATTTTAAGTAGGCTCTATGCCCAACGTGGGGCTTGAAGTCATGAAGCTGAGATCAAGAGTCGCGTGCTCTACTGACTGAGCCAGCCAGGCACCCCTGGTCAACTTTTCTTAATGTTCTGTTTTCTGACATTTAGATTATTTCCAGAAATATACTGTTATAAACAGGACAGCCATGAATGATGGTATAGCTAGCTCCGTTTTTTTGGTTTTTTGGGTGTTTTTTTGTATCCAAATCTGTTTATTAGGATAGTTTCCCACTCATGCTAATTCAGGGTGCTTTTACTGCCGTTGCTGTCTGAAGGAGCATCCTTCTGTAAGCCTTGCTTTTCTTCCTGTTGGCTGGCACAGGACGGTGGAGCAGCTCACAGACAATGCCACTGTTTGTGTGTGGTTGAAGATGGTGGTGATTTTGTAGCACCCAGGGTACCTCATATCCATGAAGTAGGAGTTGGGGCCCCGCACCAGGCGCTTCTTTTTGCCCTTCCTCTTCTCTTCTGGGGACGGGTACAGGAGGTCCTTCATAAAGGGCTTGTTCTTGTGGGCAAGTTGTCATCGCTAAAAAGGGGTAGCATAGCTAACTCTTTATGCATTGCCATGTTTATCTCTTCAAGATGAATTTTTTTTTAAATGTTTATTTTTTTGAGAGAGAGAGCAGGGAAGGGGCAGAGATAGAGAGGGAAAGAGAGACAATCCCAAGCAGGCTCCTTGCTGCCAGCACAGAGACCTACACAGGGCGTGAACCCACCAACTGTGAGATTATGACCTGCACTGAAACCAAGAGTTGAACACTTAACCAGCTGAGCCACCCAGGTGCCCCTACATGAATTTTTTAAAGTTTATTTATTTATTTTAAGAGAGAGAGAGAGAGAAAATATGTGAGTGGAGGAAGGGCAGAGGGAGAGATAGAGAATCCAAAGCAGGCTTCTAGCTGCCAGCGCAGAGCCCAGCATGGGGCTCAGACTCACGAACCGTGAGAACATGACGCAAGCTGAAATCAAGAGTCCAAGACACTTAACTGACTGAGCCACCCAGGGCCCCAAGATGAAATTTTTTTTTAATGTTTATTTACTTACTTAGAGAGAGAGAGAGAGAGAGAGAGAGAGAGAGAGAGAGAGAGAGCGCACACACAGGGGAGGGGCATAGAGAGGGAGAGAGAGAATCCCAAGCAGGCTCTGAGCTGTCAGCACAGAGTATGATGTGGCGCTCAGCCGCATTAACTTGTGAGATCATGACCAAAATCAAGAGTCGGACACTTAATTGACTGAGCCACCAAGGCACCCTTAAGATGAATTTTTTATTTTTATTTCTATTTTTATTTTTATTTAATTAATTAATTATTGTTTTTTACTATAATATATTGTCAGGTTAACTAACATATAGTGTACACAGTGTGCTCTTGGCTTTGGGAGTAGATTCCCATACTTTATTGCTTACATACAACACCCAGTGCTTGTCCCAACAAGTGCCCTCCTCAATGCCCATCACCCATTCCCCCCCCCCCCACTCCTTGCCCTCCCTCAACCCTGTTTGCTCTCTGTATCTAAGAGTCTCTTACGGTTTGCCTCCTTCTCTGTTTGAAACTATTTTTTCCCCTTCTCTTCCCACCCCCATGGTCCTCTGTTAAGTTTCTCAAATTCCACATGAATGAAACCATATGGTATAAGATGAATTTTTTAAGATGATTGCTTGGCCAGAAGGTTTGTGCATTTTTAAGGCTTTGGTCATATATTGCCACTAGTGGTATGTGTTTGTCTCTGCTCACTCTTACCAACAGGGTATTTTAATATTTACTTTCCTTGGCAACTCATGATTACAATGAACAGTTAATGTAGCAGGATATAACATAGTGATGCTCTTAGCGCTGATTTGTATATCTTGAGTTGTTTACCCTGACCAAATTATTTCCAATGGCTATGTATTTTTGTCCTCACCTGTGTTGACAGGTTTTAATCTTCATCACTAGCTCTCACTTCTTCTGTCAATATAACTGCTGAAAGAAATGCACTACTTGTTAATGGCCTACTTGTTTCATGCCAAGAAATCAGTGCTCTCTTTTAGAGTGTATAAACTGAGTATGAAATAATGAGCCTCAAAATAAGCCTGAGAATTTCTCCTAAGACTAAAATTTAGGAACTTTAATGGATGTACTTTGAATATGTTTTTGGTTTTGTTTTCTGGCTTTCAGTTTTGTTCCAGAAACTTTGAATTTAATGGGAAGATTAATTAGCTAATAGTTAATGGACATTAAAAAAAGAATCTCCTGTACTCAGTGTACTTGCTTATGGTTTCTATTTTGCATTTATATTAATCCTCTAAATTCCCCCAACAGGCAGAGTGGCATGATTCAGACTGGATACTTTCATTGCCAGCCAAGTTACCTGAAATTGAAGAATATTATGATGGAAACACATCTTCTAACTCCAGGCAGAGGAGTGGCTGGTCAAGTGGCCGGTCTGGCCGATCTGGCCGGTCAGGTGGTCGATCTGGTGGCCGGTCAGGTAGACAGAGTCGACAGGGGAGTCGGTCAGGAAGTCGACAAGATGGTAGAAGACGAAGTGGGAATAGAAATCGATCAAGAAGCGGGGGCCACAAACGGAGTTTTGACTGAGTATTTGATAGTTAATCTACCAGTGTGAGCTTGCCTATTTCTGCCTAATCATGTACATTATCCACCAAAAATTAGGTCATCATAGTTGAGGTATGTGTCTGCTCTTTGCAAAGAAGTTGGTCATATTTTTTTAAAAAGTGTTTCACAAGAATGGTTGTAAACAAATCTACTTATCCAGTTATACCTTTGAATAAAAAAACCTCCTTTTATTGTCTCTTTTCACTATGTGTTAAGAATTTTGTCAGTGTAATCTTCTACAGTTTCTTCTAAAACATGACAGTCAAATTAATCTTAAGATTACTTGCATTTTGAAAAATGTGGTGTATTTGTATTGAGATCATTCCTTCCATAGGCTATGTAGTAGAAAAGAAATCCCTTCTACATTAAAGGGATATATAAACCATATATATATGGTTAGGTATATATATATATATATATATATATATATATACCTGGTTGGGTATATATATATATGGTTGACTGGTTAGGTATAACATTTAAATTCTAGATACAGTTAATTAAAAAGGTGTGCAAGCAGTGTACGCTCAATAATTTATTCACCAGATAATGATTGAAGTCTACTTATGTGCCTATCACTGTGTTGATCACTAGGGATTTAGTTGGTGAACAAGGCACAGCACTATCTTCAAGGAACTTACAGTCTAAAGACAAACAGTTTTGAATGAAATTAACATCTAAAGGCTAAGATGGATGGATGGTAGGCTAAGATCCTACCTGGATGGAATGTTAAGGACCTAGTTTGGGTACACCAAACCAGTCTTAGGAGTCAGAAAGGCTTACTAGCAGTGATACCCAAAAAAAGAAAGAAAGCAAAAGTATCCGTTGATCTAAGCAAGTGTGTGTGAATGGTTGGAAGAAGCGTTCAGAAGGGAGAGGGTTTACAGGCAGGGAGAACAGAATATGCAAATAACCAGAGCCAAAGAATACCATAGCAAGTCTGAGGACCTACAGCTCAGTATGGTTTGCATGTGACAGGCAGAGGGAAGGAATAAGAGAGAGTGAGTTAGTATTTAACAGGGACCTTATTTTAAAGGCCTTGTGTGCATTAAGTTTAAACGTTCTCTTGAAGACTGGTGAACCATTAAAAGATTTAAGGTAAGGAATGACATAATGAGATTTGTGTTTTAGAAAAGTTTATTGGCTACACTGAAGGGACTGGATCAGAGAAGGGCCAGATTGGAGGTAAGGAGACCTCTTATGATGCTGTTGCAACAATCTAAGGTAGAGGTGATGATGGTCTGCATTACTAGTAGGTAACATGTTTTGATGATAAGAACTGAGGCATTTGGGAGCTTATTACTTGGCCAGAATCCCAGCTGGATCAATGTAATGGAATGAGGATTTAAACCCAGATAAGTCTACCTTCTGAACCAGCATTCTTAACCACTGTGCTAAATAGTTGGTGGGTGACACTGAGAAACATGCATAGATTTCCAAAGTTTTTTTTTTTTTAAGTTTATTATTATATTTTAGTAATCTCTATACCCAATGTGGGGCTTGAACTCATGACCCCAAGATTAAGAGTTATGTGCTCCTCCAATAAGCCAGCCAGGCATCCCCAAAGTTTTTAGGAAATAAAATGGTTAGGACTCAGTACTTGATTGAATTGGAAGATGAGAGAGATGCAGAAGTATAAAACAGGTTTTTGTCACTGAGATAAGGTACTAGGAGGAAGAATAAGAAAAGTTATGTGGGGAGGGAGGGGGGATATGATTAGTTCAATATTAGATATATTTTAATATTGAATAGCCCATGAGATCTTAAAAGAAGATGTAAGAGGAGGTTAACAGTATACAGTTGGATTTGTAAGTTTGAAGCAGAGAGAGATCTGTTCTAGAGGTGTAAAGATTTGGGAATAATAAAACAATGGTAATTATAGTTAAGGCAGTGGAAGAGTATATCTAGTGAAAGTATAGTAAGAAAAGAGGACTAAGGAGTAAACCCAGAGGCAAACTAATGTATTCACTACATAACAGAGGAAGGGAATCCCATCACTATCAATAAGAGGTAAGAAGAAGGCAGAAAGTCCAGAAGTATGAGGCTTTCAAAGGAACCAGAAGATGAGCCTGAGATGGCCATTGGATTTAGCAAAAAGGAGACGTTTGACGTGGGGAACACCCAGAGTAATAAAATGTTGAAAGTAGAAACCATTGAACAGTGGGTTCAGGTGGAAATGAGAGATAAAGAAGTAGAGACGACAAATCTGTCTTCCAGAAATTTGGCTGTGAGTAGAGAAGAATAAGCTAAAGCTGGAGTGAAAGAAAGGACATGAGATGACAGTTTTTTGTATGTGTGGGCTGGGGGAGGATGAAGGAAATTAGAGCATGGACTACTACTACAGGAAGGAGCCAGAAAGGAGGGAGGAAGAGAAAGAACGTATGATGGAGCAATATCTCTATGAAGACCCAGAAGGATGAGCTTAGGCAGACAGAATTTAGCCTTAGAGGTAGAAGCACATTTTGCCAGGAGGAAAGTATGGTTATCACGTAGGTGAGTTTGCAGGTGATAAGGTAAAAATTAAGGGAGTGCCTGCCTGATGTCTTCTATTTTTTTTCTGTGGTATTCTTTCATGGACATCTACTAAGGGTGAAGAGGGAAGTAGCAGGCTAGGAGATCTGAGAAAATGGGAGAAACACTGAGGTATCAACTGTAGAACAAGATAGCTTACTAGGGAAACAGGGTCACAGGCAGCTTTGAGGGTCCAGCTGAGATTAGAGACTTCATTTATTCTGGCAGCAATTAGAGCACTTGAGTGACTTCCTGTAATAACATTTCAGTATTCTGTTGTAGGAATGGAGATGGCAGATACCTGCTTGATCCAGGATTGGGGTTTTGCTCTGTGAGATGAAAGGATGAAGAACTTTGGCAAAAGTGATCGGAGTAATGGTCCATGGAGTCTAGACTGCCTAGGCATTGAAGTGGAGGTAGGGTTGATAACTGGGAGAATATAGAAGGAGCAAAGACCTGAAGGTCACTGAAAGTTCTCTGAATTTGAGACTTCAAGAGTGGAGCAGTTGGGGAGAAGACAAGTTCAGGGTTTGGTAGCAGGCCTGTTCAGGGGCAAAGGTCACTTCAGATGAGATAGTCAAAGAACTGAGAATCTAGCATTCTTTGGGTGTTTTCATGGACAATGAAGTCTTTAGGACTGAGGAGGGAGAGGAAGACTGAGCCAATGAATGGTAGAGTTTAAGTTACGGAACAAGAAAGCATATAGGGTGATATTGCCACATATCTTCAAGGGGAAAAGGGCATTTGCATGATAGTGAAGGAGTAATAGTTTGGAAATGGTTTTGAAGAAAAGAAGAGGACATGGATACCAGGGTACATGGGATATGAGGGCATGAGCAACGTGTGAGGGAAAGCTGCAAGAATAGTATTTTTCAGCAAACCCAGATTTCAGTTAAGCCGGGGTGTGTGGGGGGAGGACTCAGTGCTGGATTGAGAAAGGGAGAGGTTTTGATTATGGGAAATGATTAGGTTCCAGGTAGCCATGATTCGGGGGAAACGTGTCAGTTGGCTCTGCATATGAGTAGCTGTGAGCTCTGCATTTATACTGAAGATGAAATCGGGGCTCATTCCTACAAAGGTGCATGAGTCCTAGTACTTTAGTCAGAGTAAGTTGTATACCTACAATGCCCCAGGCACCATGTTCAGGGTACAAAGGTGAATAACGTGTGCCTGGTCTCTGCCCTCAGGAACTCAGAATCTAGTGAAATAAACGGCCACAGAAACCTAGGTCCAGGGCAATGACTAGTGCAATAATTTGAGAGCTCTGCACAAGGGCACCTAGCCCAGCCCAGGAAACGGGGGTGGGAGTTCAGAGAAAGCTTTTTGGACATGATGATTGAAAATGGATTAAGTCAGGTAAAAGGAGCAAAGTGGGAATGGACATCGAGGCAAAGGCATAGAATAGCTAATAAAACAAGGTCTAAGCATGGTGAATGAGAAATAGCTCTCATTGCTGGGCTTCTCACTTCACGGAAAGCAGTGATGAGAACAAGGTAAGGTCCTATCTCGGAAGGCTTTGTAGGCCTTGTTTTGAAACCCATTGAAGGCTTTCAGGGAAGTAAGTGAAAAAGATAAGCACGTAGGTGCATGCTAGCAGGGTGGAGGTAGATTTTAGGGGTCCATTTGCTAAAGGCTGGCTTCCCTATTAGCAAGGAAGATGGGGCAGGTCCTAAAAAAGATTAAGTAATAGCTTTCCATACCTTCTAGAAGAAGGTGGGGGCAGAATTCTCCTCTTTGGGCTGCATTTAGCCCCTTATTTTTGCTCTTTCTTCACAGAGCCCAGCACCTTCATGCTTCCACCTTTTGGCTATTCAGAGCCTCCTGTTTGGTATTTGTGCCCTAGTGTGGTCACTTAACAGCTATGAATTTAATTAAATCAGTTACCCTGATCTTCAGTTTTTGAACTTGTAAATGTCTGTCTTATTAGAAATTTGAATAATGAATTCACATTTATGTGTGAATGTCTGAGAGCTTCCTCTCACATTGTTTTTGTTTCCCATGTCTTGTGGGTAGTGTTTAATGTTTTTTTAAACCATATTCCTTTTTCATATTAGTAATATACATCCATTGTTGAAAATTTGAAAAAAATAGAGGAGCAAATGGAAGAAAATAAAAACCATCCATAATTACATCACTCATAATTACTGCTAACATATTGTTGTGTAGACTTTTGAATTAGTGTGTGTGTGTATGTATGCATACTTTTTAAAACAGAAAATTTCCCCCCATTTTATGAAAACACGACATTATCTACATCAGAGGAAACTGGTCTGGCGGAATCAATACCCAGAACTTCACATTTCCAATCAAATGTATGTATAAGACCTATTTTTTTTCTACTTGTTGCTGAATTTTATACTGATAACTAGATTTAATGCAGTAATTTGGCTGCCTTTGACCCAAAAAGGGCCTTTGCAGGCTTCCTCTGAGAATTTTGGCCTTATGCCTATGTGTAGGTATATTACAAAGGAACTTCCATATTTTATAAACCTTGACAACAGTTTTCCATTAAGGAGTGTTCTGGGCTCACTCAGTTGTTGAACATGTACTGGTAATAAAAATGTCCCTGTATGGTTTATAGCAGTATCACAGAGGTTCCTTAAGGGAGGGACTGGGCCTTCACTAAAGGTACTCCAAACTCCCATGTACAATGCTGAAATCCTAGATGTTAAGCATTTTATCAGTTGGTTGATTGCATTCATGCTTCCTCCCCCTTCTACACCTAATACCAGGATGATTGAATTGCTTTCCTGCGTGGGCATAGAGCTAAAATTTATTTTAAGGGATTTCTCTGTCTTCCCCACACCCCAACATTGCCATTTTAATGGTCAATCAACTTTTAGTGTCAATCTACCATGTGCCTATGTACCAGGCGCTGTTTGAAATCTTTGGGATACAAAATAGGTAAATCAAGGTTCCTAGCTCAAAGATATCACAGAGTATAAGTTAAAGAAAGAGTTGCTGTAGATTTACATAAGTTTACCTGTTAAAAAATTGAGACTGTGAAACATCAAGTAACAGTTTTATGTGAAACATGAAAATTTTCCATTGAACTGTCATTTTAAAATGTGCAGTAAATACAGAAATAAAACTTCTGCATTTACCTTTGTCATAAAATGATTATATTTTAAGTTGTCTTTCTAAACACCTACAAGTTTTAATGGCTGTCATTTATTGTACTTTACGTGCCAGACACTGCTAATCCGTTTTCATTCATTATCTTAATTTTCTCAGCCCACGAGAAACTCATTGATTTCTCCTGATTTCATGCAGGAGAAACTCAGGTTCCAATTAAGTAATGTGTGCAAAATCAGAGAAAGACCAAGCAGTGCAGGCTTTCAAAGCCAGGCATGATTTCAACAGATTTTTAAAAATTATTCCCAATTCTTTGGGTCACTAGTTCTTCAGAGTTTAGTGACATTGTCATAGATCATTCTATGGATGATCATGGACCACTTTCCTCAACTCCTCGAATTAGTATATTGCCCCAATTATGCAAGATTTAGAGCCCTGTATTTTTAATTAAAATTTTTTTTACGTTTTACTTAGAGTGCAAACAGGGGCAGAAAGAGAAGGAGGTAGAGGATCCAAAGCAGGCTCTGCACTGACAGCAGTGAGCCCGACCTGGGGCTCGAACTCACGAACCCCCAGATCATCACCTGAGCCTAGGTCCCAGGCTCAACTGCCTGGGCCACGCAGGTGCCCATAGAGCCCTGTATTTTCTTTTCTTTTTTTTTTTTTTTTCAACGTTTATTTTTGGGACAGAGAGAGACAGAGCATGAACGGGGGAGGGGCAGAGAGAGAGGGAGACACAGAATCGGAAGCAGGCTCCAGGCTCCGAGCCATCAGCCCAGAGCCCGACGCGGGGCTCGAACTCACGGACCGCGAGATCGTGACCTGGCTGAAGTCGGACGCTTAACCGACTGCGCCACCCAGGCGCCCCAGCCCTGTATTTTCTTATAGAGGTCCATGTGGTTTGGGTGCTCTTCCTACTGGTCTCAAGGACGGTTGGGGTGCCTCTCTGTGTCTTCAGAATAACTGATACTCCTCTATCTTCCAGCAGTCTATAAAATTTCTTTATGACAAGTATTGTATATTCTCTGTTAACTGAATCCTAGCCTTGTTTCTCGTGACACCTGACACTGAATGCTTGGGGGATGTTTACGTGCATGCAATTAGGAATGACATATCCGACTGAATTCTAATTCTTATCCAGGCTTGCGAGTCTGGGCATCTCCTTTCAGTGTCCACGTTTCCACAAGGTGATCAAGAAGACACATTTACCGCGTCTGTGCGTGAAAGGATCTTCCAAACTCCAGCAATCTAATATATACACTGAAGAGACACCACAGAAAAACAAGTTATTTATCAGGTCGGGGGTTGGGGGAAATCTGACTAGTGTTTACTAACTTTTGTGGTTCCTTCCAGTTGGTTGGACTCCTCAGGCGTTGTAAGCGGTCAATTCACTACTCGCAACCAGCGGGAGCACCACAAGCTCCAGCCCTACCGCGTGGGCCATGGCGTCTCTGGGACTTTCTGCTTCCGCAGGAAATGCTTTGCTTCCGGAAGTGACGAAAGTGGGTGGGCTAAATGGGTAGTACTGTCTCTTCCTCTCCACGCGGTGGAACTGACTGGTCGGCCTCAGTTGCTTGTGCTGAAAGATGCCGGGGAAACTCCTTAGTGACGTGGATTTGGACTCAGACACGGCCATGGAAAAACTGGAGACACCGCGAAAGCAGAATGCGAAGGTGCCATCGGGGGCTGAGGGTCCTAGGGTGCTGAGAGGAGTGGGGTACAGGATGGGCGGGGGTCCGGCTAAGGAGCCCGTGGCGCACACGCGGACCCGGCGCGTCCAGAGCCCGGCCGTGGGGCGCCGGGGAGCTGTGCCGGCGACGGGCGCAGGCGGACCGGAGCTGGGGTGAGCACCGCTCCCATGTGGTTCTGGAGTCTGGGCGCCCCGCACCTGGTGCGCAGTAAGATGTTCACGGTTGGGCCCCACGTTGCTGGCTCAGGCTCAGACCTGACCGGGTTTGAGCGTGCGCGGAGGGAATTGTCAGTCCTGGTAGAGACTGAAGCTTTAGCCTAGACTAGCCACACCTCAAACCCACCTGCACACGTGGGCGGCGTGAGCAGTGACATTTTAGTAGTTCGGGAAATACAGTTTGTTTTTCGGTAAGCAACCTTTAGAAGATGAAGTAATTCAGTTCGGCTTAAGGTCTATCGACCAGATTTCCCGTGGAAATGTAACGTGTTGTGGTGCTAACAGCACACCGTATTTTTGATAGAGGCCAGCAGTGTCTAGTGGTCTTAAGTTACCTTGATACCTGTCTGCCTCTTTACTGTTACTTCCTTAGCGATTTCACTTGTGACTGGGTGTCTGTTCTGAAATAAGGTCAGTCAGTGAGAACAAACATTGTCCCTGAATTTGTATCCTACATGATTTAGAATTTCCTTTCCTTGGCTGTTTATGGGCCTTTTTGATGGGGAGCTTTTACAACAGCACTATTTTGGCGTTGTAGGAAGCCGAGGGGGCACAGACTTGTCCCCACAGGTGGGGAGGAAGTGGTCCTGGTTTGCCTGCTCAGCGTCAGTGAAGGTATTCAGTTGTGGGATGGTCAAGTGAAGAGGGACGCGGCCAAACTCCATTACATTCCAAGAGAGGCCACTGAGTTAGGAAATCCTCTTACTTAGTGGAGCGAAGGGATGAAAGAACTGAAATCTTGTGGGGAGACCAGATTATTTTTCAGATGTCTGAAAGATGATCATGTGGGAAAGATCACCCTCATCTGTGATTTGAGAGTGGAGGCGGGGCCTGAAGTTTCCGGGAGGCTGATTTCAGTTAAATGTTCTAGTCTTCATATTTCTGTGATTGGCCTTTCAGAAAGGTTTTAACAGAGGCTAAGCACCTGTCTATTTGATTTCAGTAATATTAAGTAATTAACTTTCAGGAATAGGAAAAGTTGGAAAAGGTCACACATTTCAGGTAGGAGCCGTAGTCTGATTTGGCTTTGAGGTTTCACCCATTCCATTTCCTAGTAACTTATGCTTTTTTTTCCTCTTTAAATTAGATCATCTTTTTTTTCTTATCGCGTGATGATTGTGGGGTGATAGATTGTGGGATTTTATAGCTTTTTGGTTCATAAAGTGTCTCTATAAATTCATTTGCACTTGTCACATAGCCAAGACAGATATTATGAATTCTAGCAGAGAAAGAAATCTGCTTAATATTGTCCATCTGTGGACATATGTGGCCTTATTGCTCTATTAGAATTAAATTAAACTGTACTTGATCATTTTCTGTAGTTGTACCTCTTGACGACTCTTGGAGCATCCCATAAGAAACCCCAAATCCCTTATGAAAACTTGATTTTACAACTTGTTCAACCAGCATGAATTAAATGGTTGCCAAGAGGCATTCTCTTCTGATCTCATGAAGTCATTGATATACAATGTACTTATTTCCATATAACTAAGAAATGGTACTAAAAAGCATAGTGTTTTGTCTTATTGAAAGGAGAAGGTACAGACGTTGAAAAATGCCCCAAAATTGTGTTCTTCATAATTACATGATCTTGAAATAATTGAGAATTGATGCATCATACAAATGTATACATGCTTTGCTCAGTGGTTTGTATTTTTTAATTTCTTAGAAGGGTAAAAAAGAGAAGCCAAAGTCTAATAAGACTGAAGAGTCAACAGAAGTAAAGGAAGAAACGATTTCCCCCAAAGCCAAAAAAATTAAAAAGAAAGTCGAGTCTTCTGAGATTGACATGAATTCTCCTAAATCCAAAAAGGCAAAAAAGAAAGAGGAGCCATCTCAGGATGACATTATTTCTCCTAAAACCAAAAGTGTGAAGAAACCAAAGGAGTCCTTTGAAAAGAAAGTTGTTTCTCCTAAAACCAAAAAAGTAATGAAAAGTGAGGAGCCTTCTGAAGAAGAAATAGGTGCTCCTAAGCCGAAGAAGATGAAAAAAGAAAAGGAAATGAATGGAGACATTGGAGAGAAAAGCCCCAAACTGAAGAATGGATTCCCTCATTCTGGACCTGTCTCTAACTCCAGTGAAGAAAGTAACAGTGAATTAGAGCAGGTAAAGTTGCATTTTCATATGTAGAGCGTATCTTTCATTGTGGTTTCAGATAAATAAGTAGGTAATTGCTACCTAGAGGCAACAGAAGCAGGAGAAAATTTGATGTGTTGACACTTTATGGGGGGTCCCTTGAGCTGCATGCTGCCTGCATTCAGGGTAAGACTTCATCTTAAAAATAGCTTAAAGTTAGAATGTTTCCTTTGCAAAGAAACAGGCCTATTTAAGTTTAGGGAATGTCTTCTCTCCACATCTGCTTATTTGCAAGTCAGAAATTAAAAGGAGAGATTATAGTTATGCAGATAGTTATTCCCTCTGAGGGGTTTCACCAAAAAATCTTAATTAGTAGAGCTACTGAAAAGGATTTTGTTTGATTTTGCATAAGTTTTTGTTTGGCCATTAACTCAAGTTGAACCCGATGATTAGATGTCCACTTGGAAGTAGTTCTGTTACCTTTCAGAAACTCAGTCATCAAAGAAATCCTAATTCTAATAATTTTCTGTTTGCCATAGGTCATAATCAACATTTAAATTTTTTTTCCTTGGTTCATATCCAGGTGCCCCTCAAAATAAATAGGTAAATAAATAAATTTTTTTCCTGATTATAAATAAGTGATTTACAGAATTAGGAAAATATAGAAATTTGGGGCACCTGGATGGCATCTGACTTTGGCTCAGGTTCTGATCTTAATGGTTCGTAGGTTTGAGCCCCAGGTCAGACTCTGTGCTGACGGTTCAGAGCCTGGAGCCTGTTTCTGATTCTGTGTCTCCCTCTCCTGCTGCCCCTTCCCCACTTGCTGTCTCTCTCTCAAAATAATAAAAAACATAAAAACATTTTGTTTGCTAAAAACAAAAAGTTCCCTAGAATTTCAACATTCATTAATTCAGTAAATATTAAATACTCATTAGGTATAGAGGTAACCTGTTGTTGAATGCTGTTTCTTTACAGTACTTTATATATATATATATATATATATATATATATATATAAACTATTTTTTATCAGATTAGGATTGTACTATATGCAATCTTGTCTCCTGCCTTTCCACTTTTATTTAAACATTATATTCTATTTTTTTAATGTTTACTTTTTGAGAAAAAGAAAAGACAGCATGAGCGGGGGAGGGGCAGAAAGAGAGGGAGACACAGAATCCGAAGCAGGCTCGAGGCTCTGAGCTATCAGCACACAGCCTGATGGGGGCTTGAACCCGTGAACCGCGAGATCATGACCTTAGCCGAAGTCGGCGCTTAACCGACTGAGCCACCCAGGCACCCCTAAATAATAAATATTTTCATTGGTTCCATAATCCATTATATAAATGTTCAGAAAATCACTTAATTCCTGTATTGAGCATTTAAATTTTTTACTATCAAATAATGCCACAGTGACCACTTTGTCATAAATATTTGTTTATTATTTTCTGTGAATATGTGTGAAAGATGTGGCTATGCAAAAGGGTTAATGACCTGTTCAGCAGTATAGTAGTCCCCCCTCATCTGATGTTTTTCTTTCTGGGGTTTCAATTGCTCCCTGTCTACCACGTTCAAGGGTAAATGATTCTCCTCCGGACACATTGTCAGAAGGACAGTAGTAGCCTGATGCTGCATCACAATGCCTACGTCATTCACCTCACTTCATGTCATCACATAGGCATTTTATCAATCCTGTATCATCACAAGAAGTATGAGTGCAGTACAGGAAGATATTTAGAGAGAGACCACATTTGCATAATTTTTATCATGATCTATTGTTATAATTGTTCCAGTTTATTATTAGTTATTGTCATTAGTTTGTTACTGTGCCTAATTTATAAGTTCAACTTTATCTTGGGTATGTGTGCATAGTAGAAAACAGTATATTTAAGGTTCTGTACTATTCAGGTATCCACTAGGGGTCTCCCCTGTGGAGAATGGAGGACTCCTATGTATTGGTATGGGATGGCAACAGAATAGTTCTTAGTTGAGACTGAATCTGCCTTTACTAGCCACACATAGTATATCTACAGTATATATTTGCATTTTCCTTTTGTTAGTGTTTTATAGATGATTATGATTTCCTTTTTGGATCTTAATTTACCTACCAAAGTTTGTCTGTCTTTGTGGTTGATTTAGAAGAGATGTTTTCAAATAGGTTCTTTTGTTTCTTTCTCAGAAGGCGTCTCTGTGACTACCTGTGGGATTAAAGTTACTGATTTCTTTCTGTGGCCCTTTACTTGATAGGAAATACCTGTGGAACAAAAAGAAGGAGCTTTCTCTAATTTTCCCATATCTGAAGAGACCATTAAACTTCTCAAAGGTAATATTTTGGAACTATTGTATAATGTTACTGTATATTATTTGGAAGCACTCCACTATTTTTGTTGAGATGAAGGACAATATGTGGAACCACATAATAACTTAGATCTGTATATATAGTATAGGACCATACTGGTGATGGCTTTGCTGTCTCTTAAATAGGTGATTAAATTTTATTCAAACCAATGTGTATATTCAGAAGTGTGAGGACTGATTGTTCTGGTACAAATAAATGGTTCATGCCATTTATTTGTATGGTTCGTATTTTCTTTGTTATTCTCTCCCGCTTCGTGAGGCATCTCTTCATAATACCAACTTGACTCAGAACTCAGCCTAGCGGTGTGCCTCTGAACAAACTAGGTAGTCACATGTGTGGGTAGGTGTTTTCTGAATCAGGTGTGGCATAGTCTGGACTGCAAATCCAGATTTGGGGCTTCTGTTGACCTATGGATGAGATTACACGACAAGTAACTAAATTCTAAAAAAAAATGTTTGCTATAATTTGGTACTTTAATTTTTTTTTTATTTTTTAGAGAGTGCAAGAGTAGGGGAGGGAGGCAGAGGGAGAGAGAGAGAGAGAGAGAGAGAGAGAGTCTCCAGCAGGCTCCATGCTAAGCACGGAGCCTGATGTGGGGCTCAATCCCAGGACACTGGGATCGTGACCTGAGCCAAAATCAAGTTGGACGCTCAACGAGCTGAGCCACCCAGGCACCCCTAATTTGATACTTTAAAGTTTGTTGATATTTTTCAGTCAAGCAGATTCTTCACTACCATAATACATTGGAGCCTGACTTTGTAGATATTGACAAGAAAGTAGAATTCTTTAATACTCTAGGACCAGAAACATGGCTGGGATTTTAAGAACTGCAATGTCAGGTAACATGGTAAATTTGTTCACAGGCCGTGGGGTGACCTTTCTGTTTCCGATACAAGCAAAGACATTTCACCATGTCTATAGTGGAAAGGACTTAATTGCACAGGCACGGACAGGAACCGGGAAGACCTTCTCCTTTGCCATCCCTTTGATTGAGAAACTTCAGGGAGAACTACAAGACCGGAAAAGAGGCCGTGCCCCTCGGGTAACTATCTTTAACACAGACCTCAGGGGCTCCAACTCTGTAGTATAGTTTTTTACTGGGTTCTCCTTTTTTTTTTTTTTTTTTTTTTTAATTTTTTTTTTCAACGTTTATTTATTTTTGGGACAGAGAGAGACACAGCATGAACGGGGGAGGGGCAGAGAGAGGGAGACACAGAATCGGAAACAGGCTCCAGGCTCTGAGCCATCAGCCCAGAGCCCAACGCGGGGCTCGAACTCCCGGACCGCGAGATCGTGACCTGGCTGAAGTCGGATGCTTAACCGACTGCGCCACCCAGGCGCCCCTACTGGGTTCTCCTTAAAGTGTTTTTTTCCTTTTCCTTTCCTTTCCTTTTTTTTTTTTTTTTTTTTTTTGGTATCTTGAGATCTTTATTTGAAGCTAAAGCAGGATTATTCTCTTAAGATTGTTGGCCACAAACCTGTGTATTTAAATATTGTAATCTGCCCCATGGTTGTGACTGCCTGTATTATTAATGCTCTTTGTGTTCCCTTCAAACTATTAGATGCCCCTGCAGCTCACAGGTTTGATCAAGTGTCTGACCATTTTTGCCTAGATGGAGAAAGCAGTTTTAAGTAGAGATGCATGAGTAGAAGGAGGGGTACTCAAAGAGGTGAAGAGGCCAAGCTTCCTTGTCAGGCTGGTGCTCATCAGGTTCATTTCTAGAGAAACTGGCATTTGACAAACCTTAACCTCACTGAAATGCCAATGTGGTCATCATGGTTATGGGTTCTTGTGCTTGACTTTCTGGCCCTGCCCCATTTGTTTACTGGCCTTCCAGTGTCCATACTCACCCCTCATTAATTTTTTATTGCTGTAAACAAATGCAGCATTAAACAAATGAATTATTCCCGCACTTGGAGTTATTCCAGCCTACATGTAGTGGATGTTCAGTAAATATCTGTTGGGTGAATGTATCTGATGAATTAGTGAACATTGTTCTTAAGTCACACTTGCTTCATGCTGTTACCCTACTTAAGGATCTGTAGTAGTTTCATGTTTTATGTCTTGTTGGGTCAAACTCCGACTGCTCTGGGATTCAAAGCCCCTCACCATGTTGGTCCTGCCTTAACTTGTCTTTGTTCTACTTTAAGTTTACTGTAATGTAGAGGTTCAGTCGACAGGTTTTGGAGCCCAGCTGTTTGAATTTAAATCCAGGCTTTGCTTCTTAGCCTTTTGGTTCAAAATCTTGTGTGTGTTTACTATAGGTACAGTTGTCAGGTAGGTCAGTAACTTGTGAGAATTACAGAAGAATGTGTAGTAAGTGTGTAGTAGAGCCTGAGACAGTAAAAGCTCAAAGATTAGCTAATGTTGTTATCCTCAGTGGTGTTACTCCTTGCTCGAGTTGTTGCTTTTCCTGGAATGGTTTTTTTAAGTAGTAACAGCTCCACGAAACTCCCCACTTCCTCCAGCCTACTCTGGGCAGCCCTCCTGGAGCACCACATGTTTGGGCATCTACTTCTCTTCTGATTGGTAGGATCACAAACTTTTCTTCTGAGTAGATTTGTCAGGGACTGTATTACATTTATGATCCTTCCCCACACGAAACTATGTTGCAAAGCACATAATAGATGTTTTGAAAATACTTGGTAGGATGAGTTGAACCTTCTGATGAATTTCAAATTTGTTAAGAAACAAGTACTTCACGATACTTTGAATTCAATGATTAGTTTTTCCTTTTCAGGTACTGGTTCTTGCACCCACAAGGGAGTTGGCCAATCAAGTAAGCAGAGACTTCAGTGACATCACAAGAAAGCTGGCAGTGGCTTGTTTTTATGGTGGAACTCCCTATGGAGGTCAAAGTAAGTAAATCGAAAAGTGAGGGAAGGAAAATGTCAACCATTGTTGGGTGCCCTGGTAGGCTTTCTCTGATCTTGACATCTGTCTTTACCTGGTTTAGTCATTTATAGTAGTTTTCTTTTGTCATCATTCTTTTTAAAAAAGTTTTTTTTAATGTTTGTTTGTTTTTGAGACAGAGAGAGACAGAGTGTGAGTAGGGGAGGGGCAGAGAGAGAGGCAGATACAGCACCAGGCTCCAGGCTCTGAGCTGTCAGCATAGAGCCCAATGCGGGACTCGAACTCACCAGCCATGAGATCATGACCTGAGCTGAAGTTGGACACTCAACCAACACCACCCAGGCGCCCCTCTTTCGTCATTACTGTCTAAAGATGATCAAGAACATCGTCCTGCATAATGATGCGTAAAATCCTGTATATAGTTCTTTGGAGTTTTATGTTATTTGCCTATGTTTATCTAAAGGAGGCTACAAAGGTATCTTACTGAACCCAAGAGGATAGAGTCCAGGGGGCTCTTAGAACTAGAAGGTCATGATTCAGAGTTACTCTTTTTATCTGTCAAAGAGGATGGATCTGGCTGTTTTGGGGTCTTTGTTTCTTTCTTGCTGTAGGTGGGCCTTCCTCTGAGCCCAGGGGCCAAATGTTACAGGCCCCTATTGTAGGATTCCATTACTTACCAGTTCAAGACCTGGAAGCTTTATTAGGTAGAGCAGATAATATAATTCAGGAAGGGATTTAAGGCATTAAAAATGTTAGTATTGGCATGCAATGCTTGTGACTATTTCTTTCCAGCTTTGATTGAGTGAACTAGGCTTTGGCATCAGAAAAGTGTACGTTTGAATTTAGACTCTGCTCACAGTGTGATTTGAAGTTCAGGGTGCTTGATTTTTCTTTTCGTTTGCTTGTGTGAAAAAATAAGTTTAGTGAATTCACCCTGCAGGGGTGTTATGAGGATTGAATTGGAGAATGTAGAGTGCCTGGTCAGACCCCTAGACTGCAAGAGCAGTTGAGTAAAAAATTGTATTATTAACCACCTCACCTCATTATACTGAATTCTATTTTCTTGAACATCTCTGTGCCTTCTGGGAATACTTACCCTTCTACCCTGTCTCATTCTTTCTATACCTGATTACCCTACTGTGTATACAGTTCTTTCTTCCCTTTTTTTTTTTTTTTTAATTATTTAAAAATTTACATCCAAGTTAGCATATAGTGCAACAATGATTTCAGGAGTAGATTCCTTAATGCCCCTTTCCCATTTAGCCCTTCCCCCCTCCCACAACCCCTCCAGCAACCCTCTGTTTGTCCTCTATGTTTAAGAATCTCTTATGTTTTGTTTTTATATTATTTTTGCTTCCCTTCCCTTAGTTCGTCTATTTTGTATCTTAAATTCCTCATATGAGTAAAGTCATATGATGTTTGTCTTTCTCTGACTAATTTTGCTTAACATAGTAACCTCTAGTTCCATCGACATAGTTGCAAATGGCAAGATTTCATTCTTTCTGATTGCTGAGTAATACTCCATTGTATATATATACCACATCTTTATCCATTCATCCGTCGATGGACATTTGGGCTCTTTCCATACTTTGGCTATTGTTGATAGTGCTGCTATAAACATAGGGGTGCATGTGCCCCTTCAAAACAGCATACCTGTATCCCTTGGATAAATACCTACTAGCGCAATTGCTGGGTCCTAGGGTAGTTCTATTTTTAATTTTTTGAGGAAGCTCCATACTGTTCCAGAGTGGCTACACCAGCTTGTATTCCCACCAGCAATGCAAAAGAGATCCTCTTTCTCCGCATCCTCGCCAGCATCTGTTGTTGCCTGAGTTGTTTATGTTAGTCATTCTGACAGGAGTGAGGTGATAATCTCATTGTGGTTTTGATTTATATGTCCCTGATGATGATGTTGAGCATTTTTTTCATGTGTCGCTTGGCCATCTGGATGTCTTCTTTGGAGAAGTGTCTATTCATGTCTTTTGCCCATTTCTTCACTGGATTATTTGTATTTTGGGTGTTGAGTTTGCTAAGTTCTTTATAGATTTTGGATACTAACCCTTTATCTGATATGTCATTTGCAAATATCTTCTCCAGTTCCATCGGTTGTCTTTTAGTTTTGCTGATTGTTTCCTTTGCTGTGCAGAAGTTTTTTATTTCGATGAGGTCCCAAGAGTTCATTTTTGCTTTTGTTTCCCTTGCCTCTGGAGACGTGTTGAGTAAGAAGTTGCTGCGGTCAAGGTCAAAGAGGTTTTTGCCTGCTTTCTCCTCGAGAATTTTGATGGCTTCCTGTCTTACATTTAAGTTTTTCCCATTTTGAGTTTATTTTCGTGTATGGTGTAAGAAAGTGGTCCAGGTTCATTTTTCTGCATATCACTGTTCAGTTTTCCCAGCACCATTTGCTGAAGAGACTGTCTTTACTCCATTGGATACTCTTTCCCGCTTTGTCAAAGATTAGTTGGCCTTAAGTTTGTGGGTCCATTTCTGGGTTCTCTGTTCTGTTCCATTGATCTGAGTGTCTGTTCTTGTGCCCATACCGTACCGTCTTGATGATTACAGCTTTGTAATGCAGCTTGAAGTCTGCGATTGTGATGCCTCCAGCTTCGGTTTTCTCTTTCAGGATTGCTTTGGCTATGCGGGTCTTTTCTGGTTCCATACAAATTTTAGGATTGTTTATTCTAGCTCTGTGAAGAATGCTGGGTTATTTTGATAGAGATTGCTTGTATTTCTTTAAGATTCTCATTCTAGAGGCACCGGGGTGGTTCAGTCACTTGGGTGACCAACTCTTGATTTCAGCTCAGGTCATGATCTCATGGTTTGTGGGATTGAGCCCCATGTTGGGCTCTGCTCTGAGAGCGTGGAGCCTACTTGAGATTCTCTCTGCTCCTCCCCCACTCGTGCTCGCTTGCTCTTTCTTTCTCTCTCTCTCTCTCTCTCTCTCTCTCTCCCCCTCTCCCTCCCCCCTTTTCTCCCTCCCTGTCTCCTTCAAAATAAATACACTTAAACAAAAAAAAGATTCTCATTCTCAGTTTGTCTGTGAAACCTTGACACTTTGTGTTACCAAGGAAGTCCTTCTTTCCTGGTGCTTCCATCTCCCACTGGTGCATTTTTCTGGACTGTCACTTCTTATCTGTTCTTCCCACTAGATTAAGGAGTGCCTTGAGTATCTTTATCTTTGATACTTAGCATATTACCTTGTATTGTAGTTAACATTTTAGAATAAAAATATATTTAATTGGTACCTGAGACTAATAAAAGGATTTAAAACCTAGTATATCTTATTGATGTTTTTTATAGTTGAACGCATGCGGAATGGGATTGATATCCTGGTTGGGACCCCAGGTCGTATCAAAGACCACCTGCAGAATGGCAAGCTAGATCTCACCAAACTTAAGCATGTTGTCCTGGATGAAGTTGACCAGATGTTAGATATGGGGTTTGCTGATCAAGTGGAAGAGATTTTAAGTGTGGCATACAAGAAAGGTAAGCTCCAAATTCAAGGAAGTGATAAAAGGATTACAGGAAGGGTGGTGATTAAGTGGTCTTCTAAGAGTTAAATGAAGCCTTAAATTGGGGGATGATTTATTTTATTTAGGAAACTTAAAAAAAAAAAACAAAAACCACGATTTATCACATAATAATGGGGAAAGTAAAAGATAAAAGAAGAAAATTTGATACTCTGCCAGCTTGGCGTGTTTTGCTTTTGGTCTGTTTCTTCTGAGTTTGTACTATTGTTGCATATGTGTGTGTGTTAATTATAATCTTATCATGCATATAAAAATTTGGCATTACACTCCATGAAGAGGTTTTGCCATGATTTAATTCCATCTGTGTATTTTGATTTTTAGATAATACAAATAATTCTGCCTATAGACATTTGTATGCAAATAGCTTCCTTCACACCTCAGTATTTGGAATTTATTTTTTAGGGTAGATGTCCAGAAGTGAAGTTACTGAGTTGAAAGTTATAAATAGTTCATGTTTCTCGATGTACATTGTCAAGTTGCTCTCCAAAAGGGCTCTACTTATTTACCCCCCCATTTGAAATACTGTATGAAAATGCAGTGTTATTCAAAGAGCAAACTAAAAAAGGGGGGCTGGGGTGGGGCTAGGGAAGTTTTTTAGTACCTGACCTCAAAGAATGAATAGACTGGAATTCTAAACTCAAAATACTCAGGAAATGCTAGAGAGTAGAGACGAATATAGAATCTAATCTGTGTTGGTGTTTATTGTAGGTTATTTACTTAGTGATCTAAATGAGGTGGTTACTGGTCTTGATGAACAGGTGTTTTCCAGGTGACAGGTCTCATAATGGACAGATTTCCTTCGTGGTTCATAAAGGCCAGGGTCAGAAAGCAAAATAATTTTAAAGTATTTTTGGTATTTCAGGTCTCCTTTACATAAATTACATAGGAAGTATTTCTTTGCCCATTAGGAATCTTTGTGTCTTTCATTTCTGTGTCATCAGTGCCTGGCTTGGCCTCAGGCGGTTGCTGTTGCATGTTGATTGGGGAAGAACTGGGTGAGGTGGAGTACTGTGTAGGCTTATTTGGGTTATTCATACTGACTTTTTTTCCCCCCAAAGATTCGGAAGACAATCCCCAAACATTGCTTTTTTCTGCAACCTGCCCTCATTGGGTATATAACGTTGCTAAGAAATACATGAGATCTACATATGAACAGGTGGACCTCATTGGTAAAAAGACTCAGAAAACGGCAATAACTGTGGAGGTAAATGATTTATTCAGTTAGAATTTTGTATATCATTTTTTCCCTGTCTGATAATATTAAGACTGGAAAATACAAACTGTTTTTCCAGATAAATACTAAATCCATGTGAGGATCCAAGTAAAGATCTATTTCTGTTTGTGTTGTGTGTTATCTGTGTTCTCTAAGTTTCATTATCTGGTACTCTGATTTCAAAATCTTTCGGAATCTATCTGTCTGAATTTTGTAAATAGAAAGAAATTACACTAGAATTGATTGACTTTTTTTTTTTTTAAGATTATGTTTTTAAGTTGTCTCTACACAAAATGTGGGGCTTAAACGCACAATCCCAAGAGTTGCATGCTCTACCAATTGAGCCAGCCAGGTGCCCCAACACCTAGAATTTAAACACTCAAGGGCAGCAGAGATATCTAGTACTTTGTTTTGTAGCTGTTTTCATTTTAGGGCCCAGCACCTAGAATTCCTTTCACCCAAGGAATAGACATACACGCTAACTGACTAATCGCAGTTTTAAGTGGATGAAAGGACAAAAAAAATACTGAAATTTTTCTCTGGTCAATTCCTTGGTTTCCTGTAGGAATCAAGGGAATGGCATTTCTTCTTTTGTTTTCCTGGTTAGTTCAGAAAACAGAGGAACCAGATGCTCTTTGGAGAAAGGGGAATGGCTCCCTGTGTTAATGAGTTTGGGTTTTTTTCTCTACACAGTGGTGGCGGCAGTCTGCTCTAGTCCATATTAAACAATTGCTTCTAGCACCGCTAGTGTTGAGCAGGTGATTTCCGGTTCCAGGTGGGCTTTACTAAATAGATCTTTTTTCCACTCCTATAAGCACCTGGCTATCAAGTGCCACTGGACTCAGAGGGCAGCAGTTATTGGGGATGTGATCCGAGTATATAGTGGTTTTCACGGGCGCACTATCATCTTCTGCGAGACCAAGAAAGAAGCCCAGGAGTTGTCACAGAATGTGTCCATAAAGCAGGTTGGTTCTTCCCCCTTATTCCTGTAGGGAGGAAGCATCTTTCAACTGATAGACCCCATTAACATTTTAGAGTTCACCTGATCTGACAGTCTCCTCTCACAGATGAGGAAACAGTGTCTCAAACCCAAGGTTACACTGACAAAGTAGGTTTGATCAGTCTGTCTAGTGTTTTTTACCTAGTAAATATAGCTGGACACAGTTGATCTAACGACCAAGTAGAAAAAATTTGAGGCTTGTCCGTGTAAGGCATATGTTTTTCCCTTTACGTTATTTTCAGCAGAACTATCACCAAAATCCGAATGTCCTTACAGGCCTGATTTGTTGTGTTAAAAGTAGCTGGATTGTTGGATCTGGTGTTCTTATGCCAGTTTATTTCTTTGGCAGGATGCCCAGTCATTACATGGAGATATTCCTCAGAAGCAGAGAGAAATCACTCTGAAAGGTTTTAGAAATGGTGATTTTGGAGTTTTGGTTGCAACCAATGTTGCTGCTCGTGGGTTAGACATCCCTGAGGTTGATCTGGTTGTACAGAGTTCTCCACCAAAGGTAAGTGTTCTGTACTACAGTTTTGTTTTGTTTTGTTTTGGTTTTTGGGGGGGAGAGGATACTAAAACAAATTGGAAGTTGTATGGTCTAGTTTCATGTGGTTAGTAATAGCTGTCTTTTTGAGTGCTAGGAAGCTGTGGTGATTTTTAAAACAAACATCTTCTGAGGTCCTTCTCTCAGAACTGATAGTTGAGTGGAAATGTGGTCAGTGGCCAGAGGCTGGAAAGATTGTTTCTTGTTGAAGGGAATTTTGGTTGGCTCATGCAGGTAGTGCAGTTGTGAACTGGGCTTTGAAGATGGGTAGGACTCCGGCGGGGTGAGGGTAGCATAAACCCATGAACTACAGGATAAAGAAGGGAAAAAAGACCTGTGATTAATAGCCTCTGTGGGTGAGGAGAACCTCTTAGGGAGGGGGCCGAAGCGTCAGGTTATGTGGTATGAACAGTGCTTCCTGTAAGTAAAAGTTGGTCTGAAGGAGCCTGCTCTGTTCCCATCACTTCAAATGTGAGGACCCCCACAAATTGGCAGATTCCTCAGGATTAAAGGTTGTTTTACAATGATAGAAGAAATACCTGATTACTGTGAAGTCACCAGTTCTTACAAAGGAAGTCTGATTAGTGTGTGACATACATGTTGTTTAAGGGAGCCTGTAGAACTGTGCTGTCCAATTTGATGGCCACAGCTATGTGTAGCTGTTCAGCACTGGAAACAGTCTGAATTGACATGTGTGTTCTAAATGTAATATACACATTGGGGTTTTGTTTATATTTTAAACTTTCTATTATGTACTCTGGATTTTGAAGACATACAAAAAAAGAATGTAAAATATCTCAATGATCTGTTTTTTTATGTGGATAGTATATTGAAGTGATATAACTTTTAGATATATTGAGTTAAAGAAGATATATCATTAAGTTTTTTTTTTATATAGCTTTTTAGTGGGTTACTACAGAGTTGAAGATTGAAATTACTTACGTGGCTCTGTAGTACAGTACTATTTAGATGATGCTTTTTTCAGATTTGCCCATAGGATAGGAACTGCTATTCTAGAGATTTTTTTAAAAATGGTCACAGTTCTTTAATTTAAATTGAAGTGCTAAAGAACCACACACTCTGGGTATAGATTAAAACCACCACACTTGCCTCTGCATAGACCACTCAGGTCTTTGTCTCTTTTTGTTCAGTGTCACTCATGTCTCTTACTTCAATAGGATGTGGAATCGTACATTCATCGTTCTGGAAGGACGGGCAGAGCTGGAAGGACGGGGATTTGCATCTGCTTTTATCAGCACAAGGAAGAATATCAGTTAGCACAAGTGGAGCAAAAAGCGGTAAAACTATGTTCTTAGCTTTTCATTCAGCAAATGTTGAATTCTAAAGTCAGTCTTTGTTTTTTGTTATTCAATTTTTATTAATTTTAAGTTTTTATTTCTAGCATGTTGCCATAACTGAAAGCTTATTAGGTACATGTTGTTTTATACATTGTACTATAACATAAAGCCCATTTTGAATGAAATAAGTTTGCATTTGAAAGCAGTGGTTTTGTTTTTATATTTACAATTACATGGGCTATTTTTATGTTTGAAAGGCAGTTTTCAGACAATGATAACATGAACACACCCCAAATATTTAAGCATAGACTAGGGGGTTATAGGAATTACTTAAAAACCAAAAGGATAAATTTAAAATGGAGAGAGGAGACTGATTTTTCTGACAGATTAATCTCTCCCCATATCCAGACTTATGGAGGAGAGGAGCACTTTACAGTGCAGAAAGCAAGCACTCCCCGGCCAGGGTGATTGTCATTAACAGCAGTGATTAGCATATGCCTTGAGAATGATGTGATGAGACAGCATTCATCTCTGGTTTTCTTCCCCCAAATCCATAATCTCAGTCTTGAGCACGCAAAGAACCCGAGGCAGCCTCACAGTGAGGGACAGAATTCTATAAAATACTTTGCCAGCACTCCTTAAAACTATCAAGGTCATGAAAAATCAGGAAAGGCAGAAACTGCCAGAGATCAGAGGAGACTAAGAACATATGATCACTGAATGTAATGTGTCACTGGAACAGAATAAGGGTATTTGGAGAAAAACTAGTGAAATTCGAATAAACTCTGGAATTCAGTTAATAGTAATGCTGCAGTGTTGGTTTCTTGCCTGTGGCAAATGTACCATAGTACTAATAATAGGAAAATTCAGTGCATAGTGTACAGAACTCTGGGTACTATATTTGCAACTTTTCTGTAAGCCTAAAACCATTCTAAAATTAAAAGTTTATCTTTTAAATGTGTAATAAGTATGTTTGGTAGTATAAAAAATTAGAGAATTTAATCTCAGTGAAAACGATGGCCATATTGTATATTAAACTATGGTTCTTTTTCTTGTAGGGAATTAAATTTAAACGAATAGGTGTTCCTTCTGCAACGGAGATAATAAAAGCTTCCAGCAAAGATGCCATCAGGTATGTTTCCTACCCACTGTTACGTCTGTTGTAGTGCTTGTTCCATTTACTGCCTAGCTTTGTGCAGAAATGAGATTTGGCTTTCGGATTTATGTATTGACAACTTACAACCTATTTGTTATAAAAATAGACTGTGCTTAAGTAAAATTTTACAAAACAAAAGTCCTAATTTGTATTTATCCCTACCCAATCCTGTTCACCAGAAGAAACCATTATTAATAGTTTGGTTTGTCTTGGGCATTTTAAGGAACCGTATCTTAGATACAGTATGGGCACTTACCGTGTGGAAATTGATTAGATTGGGTCACAAGATTATACTTCACATCATCATCAATCTAGTTCCTCAACTGGTGGGAATGAATTGATTATTTCTTTAAGTTACTCCAGGATGGTGAGGATTAGATTAACTAACAGTGTTTGTCACTGGAGGTGCTACTGGCATTGGGGGCAAGAGAATTATTTCGTGGGATTGTGCTACAAATTGATGGATAGTTAGTTGTTTAGCATCTCTGGCTATGCGGTGTATGCTGGGGGGCGAGTGGGGTTGGCATTATGAAAACCAGAAGGTCCTGACTATTTTCCAAATGTTTCCAAATGGTGGCCTACATTCTCTGCTTAAGAGAACCACTGAATCTGGGGGCGCCTGGGTGACTTGGTTGGGTGTCCGACTTCAGCTCAGGTCATTAGAGCCCTGTGTTGTGCTCTGTGCTGACAGCTCAGAGCCTGGAGCCTGCTTCAGATTCTGTGTCTCCCTCTCTCTCTCTCTCTACACTTCCCCCACTCACACTCTCTCTCTTCTTCAAAAATAAATAAACTTAAAAAAAAACAAAACAAAACACTGAATCTGAGGGGCACCTGGGTGTCTTAGTCAGTTGAGCATCTGACTTCAGCTCAGATCATGATCTCATGGTTCGTGGGTTCAAGCCCTGCATCAGGTTCTATGCCAACAGTGCAGAGCCTGCTTGAGATTCTTGCTCTTTCCTCTCTCTCTCCTGCTCCTGCTTTCTTTCTCTCCTTTGACCTTCCCCTGCTCCTGTTTTTTTTTTCTCTCTCAGAATAAATAAAACTTAAAAACAATTTTTTTTTCAGAGTTTAGAGCATGTGCACTCTGTCTCTCAAATAAGTAAACATTTTTTGTAAATAGAAGTCTGTGATCAAAGGAAATGCTTTGTGTTACCATATTAATTAATGGCTCAGGAAAGTTCTCCAAATGAAAATAATTTAACTCAGTAATTTTCAAATTTTTTTTTTAGCATGGCATACTTTCAGTATTCTGTAGACAGGGTTTCCTATGACACTACTTCAGGAAATTTGGGATTAGATGGCCAGGAAGGAGAAAAGAGGACAAGCTGGTGGTGTATGTAAGATGTCCTGTAAAGGGGCAGTCTTGCTGAAAGAGGCTGCCTCGGGTGGCCTTGTTCATTTGTGTCCTTTTGAAGATGTGACATTTATTATCACCAAGATAATAGTGATTCTCTAACAAGTGTGTAGTCTCATTAAAAAGTCCTTATCATTTTTAACCTGATTTAGAAGTCTTTTTTCCTTTTTATTGCAGAATGGAGGGGCCTCTTTGTGGCTCAATTGGTTGAGCATCTAACTCATGATTTCTGCTCAGGTCGTGATCCCAGGGTCCTGGGATTGAGCCCCACATCGGGCTCCATGCTGAGTGTGGAGCTTGTTTAAGATTCTTCTCTCTCCCTCTGTTCCTCTACGCTGCTTGGGTGCGTGCATGCTCCTTCTCCCTCTCTAAAACTAAAAAAAAAAAGTTAAAAAAGGGGCACCTGGGTGGCTCAGTCGGTTGAGTGTCCGACTTTGGCTCAGGTCACGAACTCGTGGTTTGTGAGTTTGAGCCTCACGTCAGGCTCTGTGCTGATAGCTCAGAGCCTGGAGCCTGCTTCTGATTCTGTGTCTCCCTCTCTCTCTACCCCTCCCCTGCTCATGCTCTGTCTCTCTCTGTCTCTCTCTCTCTGTCAAAAATAAATATTAAAAAAATAATAATTAAAAAAAAGTTAAAAAAAGAATGGAGATAGCTATAGTATTTTTTGATCCGTAAAGTAGCATATGCTTATTATTGTAAGAAATGTTCAGGGGCACCTGGGTGGCTCAGTCAGTTTAGCATTGGACTTTGGCTCAGGTCACGATCTCACGGTTCATGGGTTTGAGCCCCATATTGGGCTCTGCACTAACAGTGAGGAGCCGGCTTGGAATTTTCTCTCCCCCTTTTTCTCTGCCCCTCCCCCACTCATGCTTTCTATGAAAATAAATACATTTAAAAAAGAAAAGAAATGTTCAACATCTTTAATATCACTTTCAGTAGCAGCATGGAGTTCCATTATATCTGTCTCATGGTTTATTTAACCAGTCCCATTTCTTACATGTTTTGTACCCTTTAAAAAAATTTTTTTTAATGTTTAGTTTTGTGAAAGAGAGAGTCCACGTGCCCAAGCAGGGGAGGGGCATAGGGATAGAGGGAGACCCAGAATCCAAAGCAGTCTCCAGGCTCAGAGCTGTCAGCATAATGCCGGATGTGGGGCTGAACTCACAAACCATGAGATCAAGACCTAGGCCAAAGTCAGTATACTCTTTCTATATCATAAATAACACTGTGGTGAACATCTTGATATTTGTTCTGTTATTTCCTTGGGATAAAACTTTGTTTAATTAATTTTATTTATTTATTTATTTATTTTAATTTTTTTTTTTCCAACGTTTATTTATTTTTGGGACAGAGAGAGACAGAGCATGAACGGGGGAGGGGCAGAGAGAGAGGGAGACACAGAATCGGAAACAGGCTCCAGGCTCTGAGCCATCAGCCCAGAGCCTGACGCGGGGCTCGAACTCACAGACCGCGAGATCATGACCTGGCTGAAGTCGGACGCTTAACTGACTGTGCCACCCAGGCGCCCCAATGTTTAATTAATTTTAGAGAGCATGCGAGCAGGGGAGAGGGGCAGAGACAGAGGGAGAGAGAATCTTAAGCAGGCTCCATGCTCAGCGCAGAGCCTGACACAGGGCTTGAAATCATGACCTAAGCAGAAATCAAGACTTGGATGCTTAACCAAGTGAGCCACCCAGGTGCCCCAGAATGAAACTTTTTTTAATTTGATAGTAAAATCAAATTAGATGTAATCAAAGGGATGGCTTTCTTTCTTTTATCTTTTAATTAATTTATCTCTTTTGAGAGGGGAAGAGGGAGTATAAGCAGGGGAGGGGCAAGGAGAGAGAGAATCCCAAGCAGGCTCCACAATGTCAGTGCAGAGCCCGACATGGGGCTTGATCTCACAAACTGAGATTATTATCTGACCCGAAATCAAGAGTTGGATGCTTAACTGACTGAGCCACCCAGGCACCCTAAGGAATGGATTTATTTTTACAGAAATGTGGTGATTATACATATACATTGCATCAAAGTGATGTGTGTTAGATATATAAAAGATTTGGTTTGGAAGTTACTGATTTATCTTGAGATGCTGTTGTCTTGAAAATGAAATATGTCTGCTCTTTCCTTTCTCCTAACAAATATACTCAATCACACCATAGGCTTTTGGATTCTGTGCCTCCCACTGCCATTGGTCACTTCAAGCAGTCAGCTGAGAAACTGATAGAGGAGAAGGGAGCCGTGGAAGCCTTAGCAGCAGCACTGGCCCATATTTCAGGTGCCACGTCAGTAGACCAGCGCTCTTTGATCAACTCAGATGCGGTAAGGCTTCCTGTTGAACTCTGACACTTGGGGTAATTTTGAGTTTGATCAGGATTTAAAAGGGTTCAGTTAGACTTCCCAATTGTTTTAACTTTTGTATGAAGGTAGGCATATATATATATATACATATATATATATATATATATGTATATATATATATATATATATATGTATATGTATGTATATGTATATGTATATATAAACGAATCCCATGGAGAAAGAAAGTAGATTACTCATTTCCACTGTCTCAGTTGGTGGCAATGACGTTGACTGCTAATGGGCATGTGGTTTATTTTTTGTGTAATAAAACATTTTGGAATTTTAGTTAGTGGTGATGGTTGAAACCTTGTGAATATACTGAAAACCTGTGAATTGTATACTTTAAAATGGTGTACGATATGGTATGTGAATTGTATGTCAGTTTTTTTAATCCTCCAAAGAAAACCTCAACCACTTAAAGACATAAGAGCATATGATACATTTGGTCAGTGTACCTAGAAACTTAAGGCATATGCATTTTTTCCTTTTTTTTTTTTTTAATTGAAATTTTTGAGACAATTGTAGGTTTACATGTAGTTTTTGTTTGTTTGTTTGTTTGTTTTTTTTTTTAATTTTTTTTTTCAACGTTTATTTATTTTTGGGACAGAGAGAGACAGAGCATGAACGGGGGAGGGGCAGAGAGAGAGAGGGAGACACAGAATCGGAAACAGGCTCCAGGCTCTGAGCCATCAGCCCAGAGCCTGACGCGGGGCTCGAACTCCCGGACCGCGAGATCGTGACCTGGCTGAAGTCGGACGCTTAACCGACTGTGCCACCCAGGTGCCCCTACATGTAGTTTTAAGAGGTAACATGGAGAGATTCCTTTGTACACTTTGTCCAGTTTCCCTCAGTGGTATCATTTTGCAAAACTATAATGTCACAACTGGGGTACTAACATTGGCACAAACCGTCAGTCTTGTTCAGAGTTCCCAGTCTTACTTCTACTAATTTATGTGATTGTGTTGGGAGAGTGGTGTATGCTTTTAGGAGGAACTTTTCCAGAAATAGTTTAGAAACATGAGGGCAATTTTTTTTTATCAGTTAGATTTGTTTTTGAGACTAATTTTGTTCCCCTTTTTTCTCTAAGGGCTTTGTGACCATGATCTTACGATGCTCGATTGAAATGCCAAACATTAGTTATGCTTGGAAAGAACTTAAAGAACAGCTGGGCGAAGAAATTGATTCCAAAGTGAAGGGAATGGTTTTTCTCAAAGGAAAGCAGGTAAATAATGTTGTGACCCTGCTTTGGTTCAGTAGCTTAATGTGGACAATAAAACACCAAATGTAGGCTTCTCCCTGTTGTGTGGGGATGGTGCATCTTTTTGCTCTGTATATAGTCTTCGCTAGGCGATGTCATCCCTGACCCTCAGTTGCCACTTAGTGATGGACAACTACCTCATCTGGTATCTTTAGCTTGAACTATCTGCGTGCAGTGCCGGACATGAAGTCCCAGCTGCTTCCCTGACATTTCTACTCAGATGGGGTTATTAAACAACATAAAATTATTCAAAATTGAATTCAGAATCTTTAATTCAAACCTAAAATTTTAATTAAAAAAAATTTTTTTTAATGTTTGTTTATTTTTGAGAGATAGAGACACAGAGTGTGAGCAGGTGAGGGGCAGAGAGAGAGGGAGACACAGAATCTGAAGCAGGCTCCCGGCCCCAAGCTGTCAGCACAGAGCCCGAGGCGGGGCTCGAACTCACAAACTGTGAGATCATGACCTGAGTGAAGTTGGACGCTTAACCAACTGCGTCACCCAGGCACCCCGAAAACTAAATTTTTAAATCTTGCCTTCCAAACCTGGTGTTCTTTCTTCTGAGTCTTGCTGTCAGTTAATGGTAGACCAGCACAGCAGTTCTCAAACTGTTTGGTCTCATGACCCTTTTACATTCTTAATGAATGGTGAGAGTACCAAAAAGCTTTTGTTTGTGTGGGTTGTATCTATTAGTGTTTACTGTGTTAGAAGTGAAAACTGGAATTCGAAAACCAAAGAATACCGTTCCATTTGCCATCAGAGCTGTGGTAGCATCACAGGTAAATGGTGTCCGGGAAACTCCGCTGTGTGCTTATGAGAGCGTGAGAGTGGAAAGGACACATATTTTAGTATTAGGAAAATTGTTTTGACTTTGTGGAACCTCCGCAAAAGATCTCAGGTTTCCTGGGGGGCGTAGACTGTACTTTGTAAACCACTTGCTTAGAGAACCAGATCTGGTTTATCATCACCTCGCTGCATGTCTGTGTTTACCTTCTTAAGGAACTTAAGTATGGGTTACAGTCGCAGCTTTCACATGGCGGATGAGTCTTCACGAGCAGGCTCCTGCTCCCCTTACTGCCTCCTCACTGCTAGTACCTCCACTCTAGCAGTGCCAAGTACACCTTGCTTTCTGTCATTCTAAGTGGCTCAACCCGGTGTTCATAGTATTTTTTTTTTCCTCCACGTTATTTATGGTGTGGCTTAACCTTGAGTCTCCCTGTGAAGCTTTCCCTGGCCATACAGTAGAGTTGGGGGCACCATATCCATACTTCAGGGTTTTTAGGGCATGCCTTTATTCAGGCAAATTTTATCTTGCTGGGCTTGCTTATTGACTGAGAGCCTTGAAGCCTATGATGTACTCAAGGGCAAAAACGATTTTTTAGTTATCTTTATACTTCAGTGAGTGGCTGGTGTTAAATACGTAATAATTTTGTGAATGATGATCCCCACAAGTGGCAAAATCCATCAGTACCTGATGCGACCTGTGGTTATGGTTGGGTGAATTGTTGGGTGGAAGTGGGGTGTTCCTCATAAAATGTTGCAGTTAAAGATAGCTAGGGAAGAGGAGTGCCTGTGTCCGTTGCAGGGGTGGTTCTAACTACATTTGTGGAAACCAAGAAATAGGATCTCCTTAACTGCAGGTGATGGCACTGCTATGGTCCTATAACGTGTTTATTTTTGTATTTTTAATATATATGTTTAAGTTTACTTATTTTTAGAGACAGAAAGAGAGAGCAGAGGAGGGCCAGAGAGAGAGGGAGAGAGAAAATCCCAAGCAGACTCCACGCTGTCAGCCCAGAGTCCAGTGCGGGGGTTGATCCCATGAACTGTGAGCTCGTGACCTGAGCTGGAATCAAAAGGTGGACTCTCAACCAACTGAGGCACCCAGGCGCCTGTATTTTTTTGTTTAAAAAGAAATGTTTATTTTGTGAGAGAGAGCATGCGTGCGTGCAGGGCTGGGGGGGAGGGGAGGGAGCGGGAGGGGGAGAGGGGGAGAGAGCGAGAGGGAGAGAGAGAGAGAGAG